CACATTATTATTATCTTTAGAAATTTACTTCTAAAATTAGGTTGACAAATAAACGCAGCAAATTATATCAAAAATCAAGACGACATTCAAGTCGTCCTGCATACTGTCATGTTTCGTGGGACACCCTGTATCTTAAGATAAATTTAGCCTTTAGATTAATTTGATTAAGATAATTAAGATGCACTCTTTAACTTTTGAAAAACCGGTTTTTACTTTTCCGCATTTAAGTGATCATTTGGACTAATGATAGATTGAACGAACTTAAGATTTGTATAAATGTTTATTAGGACTAACGTTCAAAAGGACTACAGTAATTAAATGTGATGAAATAAGTTTTATTTTCAATATGTTCATATTAACATGAATTAATATCTATAATTGTTTAAATGCTCTAAAAGCTGGTTTGTGAACAGCTGAGTTTAGTTCAAACGGATAAATTAGTCTAATCAAGCATCGGATTTTATTTGTAATCAAACGTATCTGTATTACGTATAATAGGGAATGGGATAAAGAAAAAGAAAATATGCGGATTTCTTCCTAATGTTGCTGATTTTCTTAACATCTGGGGAAAATAGCGACAAAATACGGTTATTTGAAAATCTAAATTAGTTTGATTGTATTTCTGTTTTCAGAAGCTTTAAAGGGACAGACCGGCTACGTAAGTTAGTTGAACTGAGTATGCAGTGTTGTCACGTTGTGGACAAATTCTTTAGAATTCATTTGAGACATATAAAACGTTTCCACGATGTATAATTTCTAATTTTGAGCGCAAAGTCGACGTTCAAAATTATGAATTTGGGTGGGTACGCTTGAAGAATCGTTTTTTTTTATAGTAAAAATTCTATAGTAAAATAATTAGATGTTTAGGAACATATTTCTCAAAACAAATTTTTCAATAAATCGAAGTTAGAATTAATTATTTCCTTTTCATCATTATATTAAATTACTTATTCTTTATGAATTTGTTCGCAGATTTCTTCAAATTATTCAAATGTCGTCTTTTTAATAATACTTCCCGAAAATCTGTAAAAAAAACCTTTGTGATTAAAGAGAGATTATAGAAACTAAAATAGTTGAATACGTCTCATACCGAATAACTTAGCGCCCATACAAATTGAGAAAATTGCAACATATGACTTAGATCGTAAAAAAATCAATTTGATTTCAAACAAATCATTAAGATATTACAACCTATAGTCATCGATTATCTTTCGCCACATTTGTATATAGTTGATTTTTTACAATATGTTTTGATTTTATTTTTTAAAATAATATTTAGCTTACAACTTGTTTTCGAACATTCCTGGAAAATATGAAAATGTCGTCTTCATTACCAAAATTCCTCGAAACAGGAATAAATGTTTTTATAAGTAACTCTCAGATCATAACAATTAAAACATATTATGAAAAATCAACTATATACAAATGTGACGAAAGATAATCGATGATCATAGGTTGTAATATCTGAATGATTTGTTCGAAATTAAATAGATTTTTTTACGGTCTAAGTCGTATGTTCCATCTTTCTAAATTTGTATGGACACTACGTTCTTCGGTATTTGTCGTTTTAAACAATTTTCTCCTTATAGACGCAACAGATAGAAGTTAGATTAGTAGCGATCAAAAGCGCTTTTTTATCGCATTAAGTCTATACCCCCTTTCATTTTTTCGCGAACACTCCCTTTAAAAGTACGGATTTGATGGCAATGTTACTCTACAAAAGTAAATTGCGCTTTTCTACTGCAGAAAAACATACAGAAATAATCAGAATGAAACAGGAACAGCTACAGTATCTTCCACATTATTTCAAATAAAGGTTTCAAGGTATCGTTGTCAATCGAGAATTGCCATCTTTGCATGGAGGGTCACTTGAATATACCCTTTATATTACAGGATATCGGATTGGTATATGGATTAAGAAAGTTGAATGATTTATTAAAGTAGGATTCTGGAACAAGGTGTCAAATTACATTTTTACTTTCACTTCAACTCTAGCTTTAAGTTCAAATTAATCCCAGTAAAAAAACAAAGACAGCATGAGAGTTTTATTTTTCTTTAAAAAGAGCTTAATTTTATAACTAAACTACAGTCGTTGTGTACATAAATACAATAAAGATTACTTTCTTTTTAAATTTTAATTTTATACCAATCTTTTAAACAGCAAGAGACACATAAAAATGTAAACAAAGAGAAGTTGTCAATTTACTTGTAAACTTGTAATTTAAACAATGCAAAGCATTATTAATAAGAAGTCGTCTTCATTGTATTTATTTTATCACCCACTTCTGTATAAAAATTAGCTTAATTCTAAATTTGGAAGAAAAAAAGGGTATTAGATCTAGCAACCAAATAACGAAAAAGCTTATTTACAAGAGAAAAAAAGTTATAGAAAAGCTTATAAAGCACTTGTAAAAGATTTTTATACTTTTATACCTTCGTATAATTTTGGTAATGTTTTGAGACTTGCTCAGAGCTTTGTCATATTAAATGAGTTCACTATTACTACTTTTTTATATTTTTTTCTTCTTTTTTATTAATTAATTTCATTATTTACCTATTCTACGTATAATTTCGTTTAGCTGTATCTTTATGATTGCTACTTTTATCAAGAACTTGTTATAATCATATGTTTATTTATTATTGGTTATAATTCATGGTATTCCTTTCTTTTATATTCATTCTTAGTTAATCATCTTTTTGGTCAAAGGTTGACATTCTTTCAAAAATAATAAATTATTGATTTTTGTTTGCGCGTTTTTGTTGAATTACACTCAAACATTGATTTTAAAGCATACTTTAAGCCACTACGTTACATTTATGTACTAGAAAGGGTGATTCTTCTCCCCCCCCCACCCCACAAAAAAAGATCGTTTCGTTATGAACACTACGACGAAAAAAAGAAAACGAAAAAATTGTTTTTTAAAAAAGTTCGTTATTTAAAATTGGTCGTTTTAAAACGATCGTCTTTTTTATAAAAATCGTCGTATCGTTAACAATCGTTAATGAAGAGAGGAAACCGACCTAAAGGGCATCTGTACTTATAATTGAGTAGTTGTTAAGAAAATATCAATAAGTTTTAGCTCCCCCACGACTTTTTAACTTCATGTAAGACGACATTCAATCAAGTTGCATGTAGTTTTTTATTTAAAACGATCGTTTTTCCAAAAACGACCGTTTTTATAAAGTTCGTCGTTTCGTTAACTATCGTTAACGACAACCCTTCTTTAACGATCGTTAACATAATTGTCAATAATTATTTTCAAAAACGATCGTTTTTTCAAAAGGGATCGTTTTTAAAAAACAATCGTATAAAAACGGTCACAAATCGTTTATAAAAAACGATTATTATTCGTTTTCTAAAATTTCAAAACGAGTTGGTCGTTTTTAAAAACGATCGTTTTTGAAAACAATTGAAAAACGATCGTTTAATGATCGTTATTAAAAGCGATTAACAACCCTACCCCACCCCACCAGCACGCTGAGGGGGAGGGGGTGATTGAATTCTTTAATTCTGTGAGATTGCTAGATGCATGAAAATGAATCAATATTCTACTTTCTGTGGCCATATTCCTACTTTCTAATTTAGAATATAAGAAAGTTGTTTACATAATTTTATTGATATACAGTGAAACCCTTAATAACGAATACATCGAAAGAATTCATCAAATGTCGTATTCTTCACTTTCTGATAATGGAATGTTGCAGATATTTAGTTTTTTAATTAAATGATTATATGGAAGTCTTTAAAACTGTTCCCGCAAATTCATGGCTATTTATTTATTTTCGCAAATACTGAAATTTACGTAATATAGTATAAAACCCATGGAAAAACTGTCAAGACGACATTTGATAAATTCTTCCGATGTATTCGTTATTAAGGGTTTCACTGTATATTAGCAAATATTTATATCAATTCAAATACATACATTAATAATAGATTTAACAAGGACTGCACCAATCTTTTTTATTTATTTTTTTATTTTATTTGATCATAATTATATGGTTTAATTTTAGAAAGATAATAATAATGTGTATCTTAAACCCCCCCCCTCCCAAATCAATAAAATGCGTAAAAAAAAAATTTAACTCTTTTTTCACCTTTAAGCTTCGAAGTTCCATTATTCAGACAAGTGTTATTCTTGTTTGATTTATAAGTTTACTATTTGAACTCTAAAATTGAATTTTCTCAAAATAAATCCAACACTAAGGTTTTGCCGTCGGAGGTAAATAAATTTAATAAATGTACCAGAACAGAATTTTTATTAAAGGGACTGTAAGAGTTATTGCGCATTTCTTGCTTGTAAAATGTAAAAGAGAAATTCACAGAAATGAATACTTTCTGATTCAAAAAAAGCGATGTTTGATCAGAATAAGGTTTTAAGGCTACCGTTTTAAATCGGGCATTGTCTACTTCGCACGGAGGATCACTTGAAATTACGCTTACAGTTCCTTTAAGATAAATTTTACGGTTTTTCGTTGCAGATATTAGGTTTCTCTCAGGGGAGGGGGGCTGGTTGTTAATGTTAATGATATGATTAATTTTTTTTTAAAGTTTAAGGAAAAATATTTAATTTTTTCATTGTTCAAATTAAAAAAGAAAACATTCAGAAAAAGAGATATATAGAAATTCCACAATTTTGTATATCATTGTTCTTTTTCAGAATAAAAAATCCCAGATATTAGAATATGAGACGAATGGTATTTATTTCTGCTAATAAATTATAATGTATTATGATTATGTCTATTTTATGCACCACTTGTACTACAGTCTCGTCTTCGTAGACATCAATAAAATAAATACGACTTTTAATTTTTTTTCTACCAAGCTTTCAACCAGCAAGGATACATATAAACATGGGAACAAAGAGAACCTTCTCTTTCTTTACTTGTAAACTTGTTATTTGAAAAAAGCTTATAGAAAATCAAACCTAAATAGCAAGGTGTTAATCATTATATTGAAGGGTGTAGTGTAGTGTAGTGTCGTAAAAGATGTGTCTAACCTGCATCAGCGGAATATTATGTGAGGGAAGGGGATGAGAGGTTGATCTGTTTAAGCTAACTCGAGGTATATCCATCCCACCTTCTCTTGGCGCAGTCTTTTCAACTTTCCTGGACGAAACATTTTTCTCTACTACTCTAGTAGCAGTTTTCTCTCCGTGCGAAACTCTTGCTAAGGACTTCTCTAACCCGGAGAGTAATTTCTCTCCTGGCGGGGTCAGTTCATTTTCTCTCTCCATGATTAGCGAGCTGTCCTGGTTAGTTCGAGATTTTGGTGCACTGAGCAATTTTTTTCCGGTGTTTTGAGATTTCTGAGTTAGCCCTGAGCTTTCTTTGCCATCGTCAGCAGAAGTTGGTAGACTTTGATTTGTTAGAAGAATATTTCTGTAAGATCTAAGAGGTTTCAAACCTCCACTACCGCTGCTGGTTGGACTACTTGGCGGGATAGGTAGACTAGTGGGCACTGAAGTCTTATCCTTGAAGGCTACATCTCTAGTTACTGATTTAACCCGTTGGCTATACGATTGTTGGGAGGAGGAAGGTCTGTTATTTAAACACAAGGCATTTGGCTTAGAAGATTCAAATTTCGTTGTATCAGTGCTTAAACCATTACTGATGAGATTATTTGCTTCGGGTTGAACCCTGTTGTCTAGGAGAATGCAGGAGTTATCATTTCTGTTTGGATCCGAGCCAGCCGAGTAGGTCAACCCTAGCTTAAGGGACAGGTCAGGATGAGAAGAGAAAGAGGAAGAGGAAGAGGAGGTTGGGGAGAAGGAGGAGGAGGAGGCCGAGGAGATGGAGGATGAGGAGGCAGTCATGGATGAAGAAGAACGAATTGAGGATCTGGAAGGAACTAGATACTGCTCGAATGTCACTTTCTGTGAAGATCTAACTGCCATTTTATCTGGAAAAAAAATTTAAGTTTTAACTTTTGACATTAACTTAATCAACGATGATTGTAAGAATTTTCCTTGTACAAAATATCTTAAGCACATCAAGAGCTAATTTGATAAAAATTTGATCTATTTTTAGTTTAACAATTGCAATGTTTCAAGCACAATACACATTTTAGAGAACCTAATTTTATATTGTGTTAAATATATTTGTTTTTGGCTTCCCGCCCTACCCATGTAGTAAATGCCTACTCTATAACAATTTCTCGAACACGCATCTATCCAGGTACAACTTAGATTCTCTTGACTATCAATGTCAACACACGGCTACAATCCCATAAACTATCAATGCCATATCTCAAGGCAATTATCTCAATTCATATGTTTCAACAAAACCAAATTAACTCAACACTGTAATCAAAGCAGAGTCTTTATATCAACTAATCTATATTCCTTCAGTTTAGATTAGAATTGGGTCTTAACAGCATAATTACAAGTTATGCACTATTAAATATAATGTAGTTAATCAATCACAATATGGGTATGACGGAGTTATATATCTACGAATTTGATTGGGTTAATCCCAATACATGATTTACGTATTTACAAATGGGCACCTTTAGCTATAAGGACAATGTTCAATGTACAATGTACAATTACTATGGGCCTCTATATTTTCTACAACCATAAATCATTTTTTTAGCAAAATAATTTCTTTAAATTGGGCGCCCATCCAAATGTTTTAAAAGTTTTGTCCATTTGTATATTTCTAAAAGAGTCAATACTTTAAAGTGAGACCCACATGGCAACGAAAATAAGGGGTAACTGAAGCCCCCTCCCCCCCCAGTGTTAAATACTCTGCATTTACTATAGAAGTTGGCCACGTGTAAACCCCCATATATGTATATAAAATAAACAGCTGATCCAAGAATTTCGAAATTGAAAATGCGCCAACTAAATTTACTCCAGCATCCACTCCAGTAAATACCTACTAACGAGTATATACTTGAAAATAGCAAGGTTGTTCAGCAATTGACTTTTTAAAAAAGATTTTTGTTAATTATATACTTTCTTCTGGATGAAATTTGCACTTGTTTATTTTGTTAATTGTGTCTTCTCAAACTATAAACTCCAATTTCAAGAAACATTTCATGTTTTTACCCACGTTTTGCCCAATTGTATTTTACTAGGCTTTCAAGACGCCCATCTTCTATTTCAACTTTTGATTTTGGCTCTTTCTGAACAAATTAATTTAAAAATTTTTAAAAGTTCGCAAATTTCATGATATTTTTTGGTGAATTTTCAAAATTTTACAAAAAATCTAAAAAAAATTGGACGCATCTTTTTGAAATTCTGAGCATACATAAACCTTCCCTGGGGTCATGTGATGTCCGCACAAAATTTGGGCCCAGTCGGTTCAGCCGTTGTGACATTTATCTGATACTTAAACAAACAAACAGACAAGCAGCCAGATATTCTATATTTTTGTAGTTGAAATGAGCTTTATAAACGGGTTTAAAGAGAGGAGGAGGCTGCGTAAATAGAGGTCCTTGTCCTTGAGCATTGTTCTCTATGGTTCAATAATCAATCTACATGCTCGGGCCTCTTTTATTAAAAACTACGCACATGTTAGGTTTTACAATATAAAGAAATATGAAAGTTTAGAAAAAGAGAACATGGGTTTCAAGCAAACTAACAATGTTGTTGAATATTCTTGATTCAATAAAATACAGTTTGATGTTGAAAGAGTAAGGTCGCAAAGCCGTAACAGTAGATCCCTATTTGAAATCACTTGCATTTAATTGAATTTACGAGGGTTTTAACTACTTTGATTTCAAAATCCATTCCCATGCACGATTTTTAATAAATATATTTTGATTAGGTTTTTTCTCAAATCATGAATTTTTTATGAAGACATATTTTTAGCCCTTTGTAGTACTTTTTAGAGGTAGAAAAGTGTGGATGTAGTAAACACCTACTCCATAATAAGTTCTCGTAACGTATCTATCCAGGTACATTACAGAATATAATGCTAACACGATTTTTCCTACATGGAAAAATAAATCTACGAAACAATCGTATTCTTAGAAGTTAATTTTTTTTGAGAAATTGCAGAGCTTAAATGAAACCTAACTATGAGATATGAAATATGCGTGTTTAAAGGGACTGTTAAAGTAATTTTAAGTGACAATCTATGCAAAGATGGCAAGGCCTGATTTATAACGGTTCCCTAAACAGATTTTTTTGATTTAGTTTGAATTAGATATCCATGATTTTGATTATTAAAACTGTTTATTTTAATTTCATGGTTTTCTGCCAAACGTGACTTGTCCGTTTTTGGCTTAAAGGAAGTAAGGAGGAATTCACAGAAATAAACGCTTTTCAAATCAGAAAAATGACTTTATCTTCCACATTTTTAAATCAAATTAAGGTTTCTAAGGTTCTGTTGTAAATCGGTAAATCGGACATTGCTATCTTTACATTGAAGGTCACATAAAATTACGCGTACAGTCTCCACGGGCAGCCGTAGTACATTTGAATTTCCGTGCCGGGTCAACCTTTCCGGTCCCAGTTTGTACCTAGTTCTATGGACAGAACTGTCCGGTGCAACAAGGTTGACGCGTTCAGATTTTATGCTTCATATAGGTTGAATTTACTTTTACTAAAGGGGCAGAGGTGCGTGTCTCTGTAATACCGTTTATAATTTCTAAAGTGTCATTTTATGCTAGAAACTTTAAATCTCTTATCATTTGCTGCGCAGCAAGTTGTCACTGCTTTGCGCGACAATGTTTGCTTAGATACCATAAAGAACATTCAGCTTGTTAAAAGGCAAACACATAATAATATCAAAATAAATCGGAACTGAAAAAAAAATTCTGAACACTTTAAAAATTGTTTATCCAGGAAATAAAAAATTAAAGTTTAGCTTATTTGATTTTCATGTTTAGTGCTTACTCTGTTCGAGACAGTCTAGTCTGCACTTGTTTAGTTTAGGTCTGTATAAAAGAAAAAATATAAGTTTTATTAACGTCAATACTAAAACAAATAAACTTGAAAGAGATAAAAAATGTAATTGTGTTGGTGCTTAAGTAACAAACAAAAGTTGATAATATTTACACAACATTTAAAATTTATTTTCTTTAAAAATATGTTTTGTTGCTAAATTTTTGTTGTCTTGTATACCAGGGCAGTGTCTCAAATAACCTAGATTAAGAAGCCCCTTTCACCCTTCAGGCTTTCACTTTAGATACATTTTGCAGAAAAAAGGAGGGGGGGATTATATGTTAGTTGAAGGAGGGGGGGGGGGAATTATGTTAGTTGAAAATATGGATTTATTTACAAAAGCCTGGACTTGATTTAGTAAAGCTTAACCTAACTAAATATATGATGGATTAGTTTGAAGTGTTATATGTCAAAATTTAGAAAAATTGCGTTTATAAGAATATAGGACAACTGTAAGTAAAATGATTTATGTTTAAGAAAATATTGAAATTTGATATTTCAAGGTTAGCAGCAGCCCTGGCTACCTTTTCACTTAATACGGGCCTCTTTAACCAGGCAGTCTTGCACTATTCAAGTCACATTGGTACCCTATAGACCAGGTATCTTGTCTATAATGTGGAAGATATCGTCGGTTTCTCAATTCCTTATATTTCAGCAGAAACCCCAGAGTCACTTTATAGAGACGCCATAATTGAAAATAAATTACGTCTTTCAATATATCTGCAAGATATTCTCAAAATAAAATATTAAAATTTCGAACAAATTTCCAATGCCTATATCTTTGCGACCAGACTTTGTAAATATTTGACATTTTGAGCTTAGACTAATTGATCTAGCAGAATTCATAGTTTGAAAAATCAAGGGTCCAACACTTGGGATTGCAAAGATATAGGGATTAGAAAATAAGAGTTTGTGGTAAAACTCAGTTCCTTTCCAAGAAAAAAAGAGTTTTCATGATTTTTGTCACTATCAGGGAATGTGTGGGGGGAAACATAATAAAACCTAAAAGTTGAAATAGACTAGAGGATGTCAATTTAGGTTAATTTATCGCTGCTGCTACTTAGAGTGTCTTTTCTGGCTGAGTTTAAAATTCCACCAAAGCATAATTCATGAACTTGGTAGAGTTTTTTATACAGATAATTTCATGATTTTCTTCCTTTATTAGACAATTCTCATGTTTGATCATCTTAGAAACCTTTTCACATATTTGCGTAAGTGTATAAGAAAATCAAAGGACTTGAGTCTTTGCCACAAATTCAAATTTTATAACCCCTATACCTGTGCAACCTGATGGTGTAAACTCTTGATATTTCAAATTTAGATTATTTAATTTGACAGAATTCTTAGTTTGAAATATCTAAGGTATACGACACTGGGTTGCAAAGATATAGGAATTTAAAATCAAAGCTTGAGGCAAAAACTCCCTTACTTTGTTTAACCTCATGTAAAATTCAAAACATATTTTTTCTTCTCAAGAGCTGTTCATAAAAAGAAGTAATGCTTGCAAACATATAAGATTTCAATCAATTTTCTAGGCATAAACCGTACTGCATTGCATTCAATTATAGTATTTTTGCAAAATAATAGATCTAATATTATTTGCTTCAAATTTACATAAACATTTCTATTTTGGAACAATTGTAAATATAAACAACAATTACAATGATATGTTAATATCAATGTCAAAAATCTATTTATATATTTGATAAATATATTAATTTGCTATAGCTGGACAAACGGCTGAATCATTTTTTAGTGAACCCGTGGGTATCCTGGGTGTAACTTAGGGTAAACAAAGGAATTGAGTCTTTGCCACAGTTTTCAATTTTCTAATCCATATATCTTTGCAACCTGGCGGTGAAAACCTTTGATATTTCAAAGTTAGATTAATTGATCTAACAGAATCCAAAGTTTGAAATATTCAAGGTTTATGACATCAGGTTGCACAGATATAGGTAATAAACATTAGATTGTTGTGGCAAAAAACTCAATTCCTTTTGGAACTTTTTTCAATTTCACGGTCAACGC